TATAATAATATAAATATATATATTTTAGATTAAATATATCTATATACATATGTATACATATGTACATATATACATATGTATATATGGTTCCGTTTAACAGACTACTATGCCTGGAATGAAACGAGACTGTGGTGGAGCAGCTGCTATTTTGGGTGCCTTCAAAGCCACTGTAAAGCAAGTAAGTAGAATGTGTTAATTGATATCATTTATCCCAGCATTGCCAAGGAGTAATCTGTCTCTTGGATATATTCCCAGATACGGGGGGCCAGTCTAATCCTGAAGTTCTGACTATTAGTGATCTTGAGCCACTCTCCTCTTTGTGCTATTTCAGGAAAATACTTCAACTCTTTACCAGGATATTGAGAATTGTGAGAAGTTTTTTGAGTGCTACTTTTTTTTTACGAGTCTTTCTTGAATTTCAGGGTTTTTCTGCAGTCTGAGCAGTTTCTGGTTCCTTGAATCAGATTTATACCCAAGTCACCCAGTACTGATCTTAAGCTGTGGGATCTGGGGCAGCTGTCGTCCCCTTAGCAAAGAAGGGGATGAGTGACTCTGGGATATGAAGTCTGTCCATATCCCAGTTCCTGTGCCAGTTCTAATATTAACCGACTGGGGAAGTAGCAGCTCTAGTCTCATCAGGAGCTACTTGTTGGTTTGCTCCTGTGGTCAGAAAGTATTAGGGCAGTTGAGAGGAAGCCAGATACTGACATATGAAGAATTTAAAAAGTGCATATTGCACTTCAACAATATGAACTGGGGAAAAGAAGTGGCCACTGCCAATAAAACTCTGCCCTCTCCACAAATCCAGTGACCGAATCTTGCTGACAGAGCAGCTATTGCCTCCAAGGAGTATCCAAAGTTCAAAGAACACTTACTGCTGCAGATTAATGCATATATCTGACTGAAGCTTTGTCTAGGGGATGATCAGTGCCAAATTCTCATTTCTCAACAGTTTAGCTCTATGCCTTGGCCCTAGCACCATGTTTAATGTGGAAAGATTGTAAACTTTGCCGTTATCTGCAGAGACTTTAAACTGAAAACAGGTTTGTGAGCAAAACATGTGGCACTCCATAGTGATCACATGTTTTCAAGGAACAAGAGCTAGAACTTAGTGCTTTGAGAGAGTCTGGGAAAGCCGCGAGTGTGGGACCTTCTTTCAGTGATTCAGTCCTTCTTTCCAAAGTGGTTTTGCGTGTAATTATCTGCACTGAGGGAAGTTGCATTCAGAATCACACTAGGTGTGAATGTAAATGCTTTGTCATTTCATATGCAGTTACTGTAACAATGAATAAACTGGCAGTAATATGTTTGGACAAACTGAGCCTGGAGAAGCTGTCGTACCTGACAAGAAATTTGTGCCTTTATTTGTGAAAACAAAAGAATGCTCTCACTGCTTAATTTTATAAGCTTGTGTAAGAAGACTGTTAATGAAATCCCTACAGAAAATGTATTCAGATAGGCAGTGGAAAGAATTTGTTGTTAGCTTCAAGACTATGTTTTCAGTGCTCTTAAGAATAACGTAATGCTGGAAGGGGTTTAAATTAGCTATGCTTTGTCACGGAGACTGAAGTTGGAATCGTGTGTTGATAGAAAGCTCTGTGGGAAGAGGGGTGGAGGTTGTTATCCATCTTCAGAAAATACCTGCCTTAATGCTGTTCAACAGTTTTACAATGTGATTTTAAAAAGACTTTGGATAGCAAAATTAATTGAGTTATTTTTCCTAGATAGATGGATTTCATCCATTTTGAGCTTTCTAACACAAGTGAGAAAAAAACATTCAATTTTTTGAAATCTTTGATCCTGCATGTTAACACAGTGAATCCTGCTTCTTAATGAGCTACAGACAGAATGAGATGCAGGAAAAGGCAGATGATACTGGAAGCAGGTTCTCACTTTTTGACAGTAGATTAACCGCATCTCCCACTTGGAGGAGGAAAATGTGGTGCAGTCCAGTGAGAGATTGTGACTAGAGTGTGGTTTTTGCTGCACAGACTGTTTTGGAAGAGCAGAGGATCCTGGATGGATCATAGACTCATCAGCAGTGCTGTTTGCCTGCTGACTAGACTAGAAACTGCAGTTACTTTATGGCTTCTAGCTGCTGCCCATTATTTTGATAGGTTTTGATGCATTTGCCCTTTAGACTTGAGAACATGAGCTGATTCAGCATGTCCAGATTTCTTTTATCAAGAGACTAACAGTAAAACTGACCCTGATTTCCCTGGGAATTTGATGGTTTTTAGGCTACCTGTTCCAGTTGAGGAGGAACTATGGTTTTATTTGTTAAATGCTACTGTCTCCCTTTCTCTTCCTAGGATCCCTTCACACAGCACAGCCATTGTATAAATGACAAAATCATCATACTTTAAAAAATATCATCTGTAACCATATAAGCACTTAATTTTAAACCAATATAAATCAGAATGGGGTGTGCCAGAAGGCAGGAGGCTAAGGGGAGGAAAAAAAAAAGAGTTTGAAAATGCTATGTGCCTCCTAGTAGGAATAATTAAAAAAAAAAAAACAACAGACCCACCCTACCCCAGAAAGAAACAACCCAAATTCATCTTAGCCATGAATATTTTTGGTTTTACATGGAAGGAGAGAGGATAGATCCTGGTAGCGTGTACCTGACCTGTAGTGCAGGTTGGATCGTGAAGGGCAGAGCGCTGTCGCTGGGAGGCCCGCAGACATGGAGTACGGTCAGAGTTACTTTCCAACAAAATTCTCAGAGGTGGAATCTGTTCATCTGGGCTTGTATTTTTGGGAAAGTGTACAGTTCACAAGTGGCTGCATATTAGCATTTGTTATTTCCATCGTTTTCCACTATTGCTGTAGGCTCTTTCCCAGTGTGGCAGAAATAATGGGAAGGAGCTTGGTTTCTCAAATGGCCCCAGTTGTATCTTTGTTGTTATTGGAGACTAAAAGCAGTGGAAAATGCAGGCTTTGGAAAATAATCCTAAGCATCCTGACTGGCCATGTGATGTCCCCTCGTAAGCCTTTGTAACTGTCACCTTGAAAGCATCTGTTACTTCAATATTTCCTTTGTGGCTCTGAAAGGTGAAGGAGTTAAAACAGTCAGGATGTGGTGTTTGTGATCTCTGTTGTGAGTTAGTGTTAGAGTTGTGCTGAAATCAGGTGAATAAAGTGTCTTTGAAGATGTATTCTGCTGATTTTCATACAGAGATTACTGTAGTTTAGTGACTTCAGGTTTGGTTTTGGAGAGCCTGATGGTTTCCTGGTGAGCTTAGTGGGCTCTGGAGTTGTGCCTGTGAAGATCTTACCAGAGCTTGCTGTAAAGTGTCCAACTTGCTCTTCCCAGGGAGCTGGGTTTGAGTAAACATCAGGCTCTCCAGTTGCGTCTGCACACTGCGTATAAGATATCTTTTAATTCGGATACCTTGCCACTGAGAGAAGATTGCACTGATCACTGCTTAATTGACAGGGGCTTTCTAGATCCCTTGCATGTTTGTCTGTCACATGCATACAGGCTTTTATTCACTCTCCAGTGAGAACTCTAAAACCAGTATTAGATGATACATCCTCACCTGCTTTCTATAGCGCTTAGCCTCAGCTTCAGGACATAAGACATTCCTCACAGACTTCCCATGTAATTCGTGGCATTGTTGTCTAGAAGTCATAATCCCTCATTGGTTTCAGTCCCAATAAGTTAGCTTGATGTGACTCAAAAGCCATTTCTCCCCTATCGTTACAGGGTTTTAAAGACAATCTTCATGCTGTTTTTTGTTTGGCTGAGAATGCAGTCGGACCACGTGCCACGAGACCTGATGACATTCATGTTCTTTACTCTGGAAAGTAAGATTGTATCTATCCTTTTCGCAAGAAACATTGAGAGGAAACATCATCTTTGGTTCTATTTACCTGAGTACCATGCAGACTGAACCTGCCCCTCATCAGCTTCCCTAAATATTGCTAATAATATTTCAGACAGCCATAGTAGTGAGTTTTAAGTGCACTTGGAGTTTCCTGCTGGGTATATAAATGCATGTCAAAATACATATCACAAGCTGAAGTTTCTGTAAAGCCCTCGGGTTTACACATTTGTTCCAGTACAGCCAGTTTTCTATGTCCATCTGTCCATCATGTCCTTCTGGCACAGAAGCAGGCTTGCATTATATGAGAGTATGTTCATGTTGTCAGGAGAGTATGGTACTTCTTTGTACGTCAGGAGTTTGTAAAATCCCAGCTCAACATGCTAGGCATTATACAAGCCCAGCAAGTAGACCTGGCCATGAGAGCAATGCTGTTACAACTCTTTTCCATGGTTGCTCTGTCCAGATGCTTGCAGCCGGGGAATAAGCAGCCATACAGACTTGCAAGGTTAAATAGGAATGCACCTTAGGTTTGAGTTTGCTTTCTTACCCGGTATTTTAGTCCAGACAGATGAGTCTTAACTTACAGCCTGAAGCAGTGTTGTATTAAATGCCCTTTCTTCTTCCTAGAACTGTGGAAATCAATAACACTGATGCAGAAGGTAGACTGATACTGGCTGATGGAGTAGCTTATGCGTGCAAAGATCTTGGAGCCGACATCATACTTGATATGGCCACTCTTACTGGAGCTCAGGTACTGACACAGAACTGCTGCCAGACAGGGCGTGTGCGTCCTTTCGCTGTATCACACGCTTTGCCTCTGCCCTGCTGGTCTCTGGTGGAAGGCAGAGCCCATCAACTGTTGTGACTCATGATAGCTTCCAAAACTTGTGCGAGAGAAAGTTGCCAACAGCCACCCCAGTAAACTCTGATCCTCTGTGCACATGGCGTGCCATGAATGTGTTACATTTTTTATCTGCATTACTCAAGCAGGACTGTTTTGTTCTTTATGCAACTTTTCTGCTTTTGCATACTTAAAAAATGGAATTCTTCTGACAACATTAGCAGCTGATGTAAGCAAGTCAATATTCAACGTTTGCAATTCAACAGCTTTATAATTAGCAAAACTGATTTGATGATAGCGATTAAAAATGTTATCGTCCATAAAATGGCTTACACTGTCAGTCATACACAAAATGGCACAAGTGTACAAGTTCTGTGCTGTTGGGTTTTGAAATCTGCTCCTGTATTATAGAAGGTAATATTGATGAGCAGTGATTCTTGTGGTTTCATTTTCTAGAAAATTAATTGGCCTTCATACCAGGAGGAGAAATGGTGGCAAATTTTAGAAGCGTGAATGTTGCATATGTTGGTGTAAACATCAGTCCTTTGAAAGTTTCCCATCATTGTCCTACTGGAAGACTGATGTGTTGGCTTCTGAGTTTTGTGTATTTGGACGGAAACGACCTTTCCAATGAATGAGGATGTTACATTCAGACTGTTTGTGTGACTGACACACATTGCTGGGATAGCCTCTGTGCGTGTCAGATGTTTTATTTATAATTCATTGCTGATTTAATCTTATTTCTAAGGATAAATAGTTGTAAAGGGATATAGTTTGCTCGGTAACTATAAACAAATATTTTTGTGGGACAGTGGTTTGAAGAGACCAGAAAAATGCAGACTCTTTCACTGCAGAATGGATTTTCAGAAATTTTAAAAGATTCAGCAGTAGGTACAATGTCTTTGTCTGTACTTGTAACACTGCCTTCTTGTACAGTAGTTTTAAGAGATTTATTTTCTTTGTGGTTTTGTTAGGTGGAAAGCAGCTGTTAATGCCGAGAGGGACTAGTACAGAATTATCCCTACCCAGCACAGTTAAGGTGAATCCTTCCTGAATTTGTCTTTTTTCTCACTAGGGAATTGCTACAGGAAAGTATCATGCTGCTGTCCTTACCAATAACGACGAATGGGAAAAGGCGTGTGTTAAAGCTGGCAGGAACTGTGGAGACTTGGTCCATCCTCTTGTGTATTGCCCTGAGCTCCACTTCAGTGAATTTACCTCTGCTGTAGCTGATATGAAAAACTCTGTGGCAGTAAGATTTTCTTTTTCTAAATTCCATTTATTACACAAAAAGTGTGTTCTCTAGATAACATGCTGACCAAACCAGCTATCAACAGATAGCTGGCTGGAAGATCTTCATGTGGCCTGTAATCTTTTTGAGATGTGGTATATTATTATGGTCTTCGGGGATTTTGCAGGCTATATGTCACTATGCTGGTATTTAGCGTAAATGTTCAACAGGGAAGCCTGCTGCAAAGATATCTTTGGGCTTCTTGCCTCTTAAGCATGGCTCTAAGATGAATGTTAAATTTCTGGATGGAGACTGCTTAAGAAGTAAAGACAGGTATTCCTCAGGTCATATATTCCAGCAGAGACAGTAACTGGGAATGCAGAAGGCAGGAAATTGAGGACAGAGACCTCAGGCATTGCTGCAGCTGCTTTTGCTGCATTTGAGAGTTGCAATGTGCAGTTAAGTTCCAAAAACACTGCAGAAAGGAGCTTGGGCAGAAGAGGAGTTGAGCAGGGCCAGACTGCTACCAGTCAAAGGATTTCCAATAGAGTTGGTTTGCAGGACTGTTGTTTCAGGGCCATTCATTAAGCTTTGAACTGGATTTGCACAACTGTCTCTTCTGTAGGCAAGAATAAGACACTGACATTGTATTTTCTTGCAAGACCAACTGTATTTTTATTGTTTCTACAGGACCGAGACAATACTCCAAGCTCCTGTGCTGGGCTCTTCATTGCTTCTCACATTGGCTTTGACTGGCCTGGAGTCTGGGTCCATATAGACATCGCTGCACCTGTTCATGCAGTGAGTATGTTCATACAACTTCTGACATTGTCCTGGGCAAGCAAGCAGGGTAAAGAAAACTGCTTGTGCCTGCAGATACTCTAAATTTTGTGCCATCAAATTCAAAGGGAGAGAATTGGGTAAAGTTCTTTTGAAAAGCACCAACTCTTTATCTGTTGGGAATTTGTTTTGATAGCTGTCCTGGTTTACTGGGACAGAATTTTAGAGTCAGTTTTCTGTTGAGGAAAACTGCTTTTTCTGTAAGGACTGCAACACTCTATTTCATGGAAACAAAGTGATAGGACTTTGTTATAGTTTTCAGTTAACACTGGTATACAACGGTCTTCAGCCGTCTTGAGATAAACAGATGCAGAAACTAGGGGAGCAGAAACCCAGCAAGTTTACCCCAAGCCGACCAATTAATACCTACATACCTTAAATGTCACATTCGCTGTAAACTGGGGGGTTTGCTGTGGACAGCCTCTCTTTCCTCCCTCTTCTTCCCTTTCCTTCCCCGGCTAACGTCTCAAGAAGGACTTGTTTACCATCCTACCCCTGAGGCCTGCTCCCCCGCAATAGTGGCTCAGTATAACTCTGTGTACTTAATACTGTTATAAGTTATTTTATTAAATCTATTTCTATTTCAACCCATGGATCTCCTTTTCTTTTCCTGACCCCTTCTCCCCAGCTAGGGAAGCTATCAGGTGATAGAGCAACTGTACAAACCATGAGAGTAGCTTCATCTGTTCATATTTTTCCTGTTGGTTTTGAAATATTTTGACAGTCAGCAACATCTTTATCATTGTAAACTTCAACAACTTGCCTGCTTTTCTATTCATGGCAATAATCCTAGCCTTCCATTTTCACCCATACTATTTTAAGGTGATTGACCAGAGTTGATGATCCTGCCTGCTGACCTGTAGCAGAAAAACAATTTTTTTTCCTCCTGGGGTTTTCACATCCTCCCTTTGATGGAGCTTGTGTATATTCTTTTTGCCTAAACAGCCCAATTTACTCCCCCCACTGCTTTGCTCTTTTTTTCTTTAAACCCAACTTACTCAGCTCACACTCCAAATGCATGCTTGTGCTGGATGGAGCATTCCCTACCCCGAACAGTGCCTGTATAAATCCACACTGGAGTCAGCATGAGCTCTGGTCTCACGTGAATCACCTGAGGTGTTGGTTTAATCTAACCAGGACACATTCTGATAGCGGTGAGGGTACAGGAACACAAGCTGAACCATGAGTATTCGCTGTGGCCTTGCACCATCACTGCTCCTGTTGAGTGAGTAGGTAAATTAAAACTGGATTCAAATTATACAATCTGAAGTGTGAATTGTTTTGTTGTTTTTTTTCTAGGGTGAACGAGCTACTGGCTATGGCGTGGCTTTGTTGCTGTCCCTGTTTGGAGGGGCATCTGAAGACCCTTTGCTAAACATGGTATCCCCTCTCGGGTGCAATGGAGACTCTCCCACTGAAGATACGGAGAGGGATTCCAAAAGGCGACGCCTGGTTTAACGCACCCCCAGCCCTAAGCGTCAGGGTGCGTGGGTTACCTCACTTTGCACTGATTCATTCTCAAGCAATGAAAATGTCATACATCAGAAATTGCCATTTTTTTTTACTATGATAAGATTTATTACTCGTTTCTGATAAAAACTGCTTGATTCCTTGGTTGTTTTTTTTAAATTATTGGTGCACACAGTTGCTGAACAGTATCAGCGGTGCAGAGTCCAGTCAACTTTAACTGTATCAGGAAGAGAGCACGTCCTCCTCTGAGCGCATCTTCCTCTGAGCTCCTCACAAATCCTAACCAAGTGCATTAATGCATGAGAAGCTCTCTCTAGTCTGAAGAAGCAACTGCAGCTATTGCTTACAAAGCCTTCTGAATTACTTATTATATGTGAGGTTTTATCAGACACTTCTGCAGGCCCGACTACATCTCAGAACACAGGACAAGGAGAAAAAAAACTGTAGACTTGGCTTATTCAGTGACGATTTAGCTTAGCAGCAAAGGAGATGTAATGAGAAAAGGCCTATAGTTTTAATAAGGTGCTGTTTCCGCATGTTTAATGTCTTTCTGACCAGTAAAATCCACAAGAGTGGTCCAGAACATATCTCTACATAAATCTTTCACGTGCAAATTACAGAATGTATCCATGTTAATGAGGAAAAAAAAATAGAGGGACTGTGATTGAGTAAAATCGGCTTACAAAGCAGAGTGGCTTCTTGCCACTTAATAATTTTATTATTATTAAAGCAGCTTACATATCCCACGTGGTGTTTCATGGTGTTATTTATGTTTCTGAGAACACCGAGTGCTCCAGAAGTTTGTGCATGACATCATTACTCTGTTCAGATTCCCTTTCCCAGCGCTCATACATCTGAAAACAGATCTCATGGAGTAACAGCTTACATGGAATGGTCTGAAGTTCTTAAAGTTCTGAAGATCTTACACTGACACACTGCATTTGTTCGATTCAACAGTAATCGGGGATGCAGAGCCTTAGTTTCTATGTAAGCCAGTCACAAGGAGCTTACAAGCAAAGTTTGGCTTGGCTGCCCATGGAAAATGACTTGTCCCATTTGTGTAATGTCAGTGGCAGAGCTGGGAACAGAGTGACCAAGTTTTCACCAGTGCTGGTCCCTGCCCAGGGGTTCAAGCATCAGCCTTTGGAAACGTTTCTTGGCTCACGGATGGCGAAAAATCCCACCCAGCACACACTTGGCTGCTTTGCAGATAAAGTCAAGCTGAGTTGTGACAAATTGCACCTTTTCCTGTGTCAGAGGTGATCTCTGGAGAGAACTGGTGCTGGGTTTAGATGGGGTTCCAACAATGAGGTGCACATCTGGTTTAGGCATGAGTCTTTTTCATTAAAGACCCCATGGAAAGCTTAACGAAGCGAGAAGAAACATTTTTCGTTTTGGTTCTGTGGCAGAACCTAACTTATTTTTTAAAGGAAACAACTTCATTACTTCCTATATTTGCTTCTCCTTTGCTGTTTTGGTTCCCTTTTTCACTTGATCATAGCTTTACGAGATTTTTTTTTTAATATATGTGTGTGTGTATGTATATATATATATGTATGTATTTATATATAGAAATTAGTTCTGCCTTAGTCAATCTATACACTCAGTTGTATACAACAAAACTGTTGAGTTGCCGTTGTTACTGACTCAGGCCACTGGAGCTAATGGCAAAATGTTCCAATTTCAGTGCTCTGACATCATGTCTTCAGTCTCCATCCTATAGAAATACTCTTCAAATTCAATTTTAATTTTGAAATCTAGTGTTTTGCCAAAATGAGGCAGTTTTACATAAAAAATAGCCTGTGGTTTTGTGGCATAAGGCTAAATTCTAATGTTATTCCCTGAATGCAGCAAGTCCAGATAAAGAAGAAATTAGATTTTTATGACTGATTATCATATTCTTCAATTCTGCTGTTTCTCAAAGTGTATCATTTTCCTGGATTTAATTTGGAAGACACTTAATAGAAGCCATCTTTGAAAAGAAATACATATTTTTATATCTAATATGAAATACCTGAAAAGCAAATAGGATAAATATTTAGGGGAAAAAAAACCTGAAAACCAGCTTAATTTTGCTGAAGCAGAGTAAACTAAATCAATGAACACCTAATAGTAACAAGGTCTGATTCTTCCTCAGACGGAGCTATGGCAGAGATGCAAAATGAAAGTCAAGGCTTTTTTGTTTTTTCAATTCCATAATAAAATCTCTTGCTATTTCCTTTGTACATTGTATTTCCTTCTGCTTAGATGCAGGGTCTGTTATCTATAGAAGCAGCTTAGGACCTGTAGCAGACAGTGATCTGTGAGCTTTATTTACCAAATAAATTATTTTCTTTTGTGTCTTGCAGAGCTTGTGCAGCATTCCCGTTAAGCTCACTGTTTCTTAGCCCCCAAGAAGTAGAATTTTAGTTCCTTCAAGACTGCTTCCACCACCCAGATTTGCTTACCCACTTTCAAGTGATGGGCAATTTTAGCTTCTGCTGCAGATTTGTACTGAAGTATCTTGGTGACCTGGAAGCAGTCTACAAAAGGGGAGATCCCAAAACTCCCTTGGAAGTAGCAGATACTCAGTGTCAGAAATTAATATGTGGGGTAGCTACGAAAGAGATAGTTACCTGTATGGAGCAGCAAAGCTGGAATGTGGGCTCATGCATTTAACTTGACAGTCCCTGCTGGGTGACAAAGCAGCACAGTTATTCACAAGGAAACGTTCCAGACACCAGAGGTTGACTTCATTGGATTTAGGTGACCACACTTGAAGTATCCCCTGGCACCACTGAGGCAAATTTAAATAGAAATGCTTTTATAGTGGGCAGTGTGCACCTGCATGGTTCCATCAAATTCTGTTAGGGCCCGGGTCCTCCGCACTGCGCGGTACCCTGCACCCACCCTTCAAAGACACCAGAGCAGCACAGAGCTCAGCGAGGTGATTAAGATCCCCACAGCATCTAAGCAGAGGACTGGGACTTGGGGACTCCCCAGCTCAGGGTTCCCAGATGTCCCCCAGTGCCTTGGCTGCCTTCTGAGCAGCCACAGAGAAAGGAGCAGGGTCACACAGGACCTGACACCAGAAGCAGCACAAAACCAGGAAGGTGCCTCTCTAGGTTGTTTTCTAGCAATTAAGAGCTTAAATTACTACAGCTGTGGGCCCAGCACTTTTAAAAGGAGGTTGACAATTAGGCACAAGCTTATATATTCCCCCAGGAGATTTTGTCCTCCTCATTTCCTCCTTGGAGCTGTGCTAAGGATGGTCCAGTGGAAGCTGACCAGCAGGTGAGTTGGTGAGCTCCTCCACCTTGGCCACCCAGCTCCCGGGGCTGATGGTCCACTCTGCATGAGTGATCTGGTTTGCTTGGTCAAAGGGGAGTTGGTGTTTTATGGATTGTCCCAGATGAATGTGCTCGCTTACCGTGAAGTTAAATTAAGCACTGTGATGGCACTTACTGGGTGAAGGACGTAGTGATTTGTCAGGTTGTTGTATGCTTCTTGAGTTAAAGGGATCAAGGTCCTCTGCTGAGTGCTCATGGTGAATGATGGCTGAGAGAGGAAGAGTCAGAGCACTCGAAGTGCAACCTTTGTAGCCCCCAGGCTATGTGTAGCCTGAGGAAGTGAATTAGCCTCATCCCTTGCCAGAAATACAGAGAGAAAAGCTATCCTGGAGGATGCTGTGGTCTGACTGCCAATGAGGGCAAAGAGGTTTGCACTGGCTACAGGGAACCTGGGCTGGTGATGTTTGCAAATGCCTCCTCCTACATCCAGGACAGCATTTACTACAGCCAACAAAATCTGGGTTGTTGGAAGGCAGAAAGAAGCTGAAGAAGGATTCATTGCGTCCACATTTCTAATTCTCCCTTACCTTTCTTCTACCATTTTCCTCCCTGCTACTTTGTGTCTGAGACTGCATGGTCATAACATAGAGGTGATGTGTTAAAGCCATTGAGTTTTGAGCCTGTAGTCGTGTTCCTCTTTGGTCAGAGGAACCCCTTTCCTCATAACCACTCCTTGTTTGGAGCCCGCAGATGTCCTGGGGCTGGTTGGTCACCTCTGCCATAGACTGAAGAAGGGGCATAAGGAGCAAAGGAGGCCACATGATACCGACCAGTATGAGGATAATGCAGCCCCCGTGCTGTATTTCACAGTCATTTTCCTCTCCTGTCCATTAGACTGAGGATATTTCTGCAAAGAAAGAAAATTTTAGTTGATTTGCCACAGCTGTTTCAGAAGCTTTTGTGAAAAGGGATCGCACAACAGGAATCGCTCACCTTCTTGGAGCATCTCCAGCTTTTTGTAACAAAAATGTTAGCATGTAAATCATATAAACATGGGTCCAGCTAGAGAAGCTGAGGGTTGTGTCACTTCAGACCCATCTTGGTTCCCTTTGGGTGTGCTGGACCTGTAGCTTCTGGTTTGAATTGTGCTGGGCAACTGAACCATGATGGGTATCTGGAGGCAGAGGGATCATAGGCAGCTGCTGCTTTCTTTGGGTACAGTATGAGAGTGGGAGGCATGGAAATCCCATCCTGTTTGTAATTTGGACCAAAAAAAAAAATTGCTCAAAGTAGCTTTTTGAAAAAGTCTTTGGGACGTGGAGTCAAGAGCCTGTATTCCAAGCTGGGTCTAGGGGAGTCAGGGCAGCTTTTTATCTTCCAGCCCCTGTGCACAAAACCATTAATCATGTTTGCTATAGCAGTGCCTAGGGATCTGCTAAAAAAGTGTCCCTACAATAAAAAAGTCATTTTATATTTGCAATGCACTGAATCGGAAGCTGCACAAAGCCACACTAGACAATCAGATTGATTTTTCTCCATTTGCACATGTAAGAGATAGAATTAATACATTTCATTCCTTCGTTCTTACTGTGCTTCATGTCCTGGAAATTCTGTTGCCTTGATTCGTGATGATCATTGGCTCCAAATGGGCAAGTAACAGTTTTCAAAAACTGCAGTATGGGGATTTTTACTTTTCCCTTTCATGTTTTCCTTCAAACGCTTCTCTTACACAAAACCCACAGAGAGAGTTCCAGGCAGTGTCCACCCATATGAAACCAGACATTTTTTCCATAATCTTTTTATAGACTTGATAATATTTAACTCAGCATGTATTTAAAATACATGGAGTACATAAAATTCATTATAAGTGTCACCAAACAGGCCAATGGCTTTTTAATATCACTGCCACAA